AAAAAAAAAAAAAAAAAAAAACAGTCAAAATTGTCGATATGACGGATTTTAGATTTTATTCTATTTTTTTTCTTTTTTTTTGTTTTATATGTGGGTTTAGAGTCGCATCGACTACGAGGTCTTTAGCGACGTATTTTTTTTTTCTTATCTTTTTGTAAGAAAATGATAGTATAATATAATAAATGATAGAATATAGGCGTTAAAAGTCATGATTGTATTTTGTCAAAAGAAAAGTTGTTCTACAGATCAATATTAATAAGAAAAAAAAACAGTCAAACTCGTCAATATGACGGACTTTAGATTTTATTCTATATGTCTTTTTCTTGTCTTTTCGTAAGGAAAGAATTCTTTTTAATGATAATATAATAAATGATGGGATATATGTACTTTTTATTAAAAAATCTTCTCAAATTGAACTCGAATTTAACTTGAAATTAATAAAATTACTTTTCTCTAATGTTTTCTCTGATGTTTTTATTTAAAAAATCTTAAAAAATGAACTTTTATTAAAAAATGAACATTTTATTTAAAAAAAATCTTAAATTGAACTCGAATTTAACTTCAAATTAATAAAATTACTTTTCTCTGATGTTTTTATTAAAAAATCTTAAAAAATGAACTTTTTATTAAAAAAATTTTAAATTGAATTCGAATTTAAGTTCAAATTAATAAAATTACTTCTTTCTAATGTTTTCTCTGATGTTTTTATTTAAAAAAATCTTAAAAAAACGAACTTTTATTAAAAAATGAACATTTTATTAGCAAAAAATCTTAAATTGAACCCGAATTTAACTTCAAATTAACAAAATTACTTCTTCTTAATATTTTTATTTAAAAAAATCTTGAAAAATGAACATTTTGTCAAAAAGAATCTTAAATTAAACTCGAATTTAACTTCAAATTAATGAAATCCCTTTTCTCCAAATTAATGTTTTATTTAAAAAAGGATGAACAAAAATAGGTAGGAAGAAACTTTTAGCCCACACTGCAGACAGTTACAGATGAGTCTACTCAACTAAAAAAAAAAAAAAAAAAAAAAAGAAGTGAATCGTAAGGGAAACTTAAACGTCGCTCAGGATCGACGTGTGAAGTGTATCGCCGACGTAGAGAGGAATACTGAGGGTGTGACTGAAGTTCACTCACTGGAGTCCGCCGGTGAGGGTGGGTTCATGGTGTCAGGGGAGCAACACTCGCTCGGCGAGGGTGATCTCTCGCGTTTGGTGACCGGCTCCAAGTGGAGACCTGCCGGGCCTTGGTGCCCCGGTGTCTCGGTGTTGTTGATCTTGTGCAGCTGCCCGCTCTGCATCGTGCCCTGGCCACCGCCGGCCACGCCGTCCACAGGAATGCCGTTCTCGGAGAGAAACTCGTCTAGATCCACGTACTGAAACACAAGGGCAACAGCATCCTCGTTTTTCGTTTCGTTTCAGCTACGAAGAGTGAAGATTGGTCGGTCACCAGGGTTCGAACGTTTCGAACTGCTTATTAACAGAGTTTGGTGAGCATTCGATCGAGATTTGAGATTCTTCGAGAGAGAATTGTGGTGAAACGAAGTTCGTCCATTAACTCCATTAATTCCTGCGCTGGAATGACGTTCCACGCGCTTCGAGAGTCTTTTGTCCCAAAATTGTAATACTTTCACGGTTTCAAGTAGAACAAAGAATAAGTTTATTAACTTCTCAATCATTTCTATCGAGTGATATCCATGAGTTACCGACGAGTTCGAAAAGGAAAGCGACGAATTGTTTTGTACGGTTCGGTCACTCGTTATGGTCCGCAATCAGTTTGCCAGCGCAAGTGATTAACGTTGAATTTGTTAAATCAATTTACTTTATTATTATTATTATTATTACTATTATGGTTTAAAATGGATTAATCAAGGTGATGGAGAAGGCAATGGCTGCTATTTACAAATTGAACAGAACAGAAGACAGATTCGATACGTTGTTGCGATGTCCCTCTTCGAGAATGCCAGTCCAATTTGAATTTATAAAAAATTAATTAAACCATAGCTTTGCAATTTTAGCCCGTAGGCTTGGTCGCGTCACACGCAGGATATTTGTACGTAGAATCAGAGATTCAGTCTTGAGTCAGTATCACTTTTGTACCGTCAGAATTAAATGATTAAATCGTACACGTTTCTACTAATCCAAGTAACGTTAGCAACACAGTTTGGCAACCATTCGTTCTACGAAACGATGCTCTCTGCGAAGAATAAATTTCCCTGTTCGCGACAGAAGAAGTCGAAAGGAAAGAACGAGTTCTCCGATTGTTGTCCTTTTCCTTTCCATTCGCAGTTGAAGGCAAGAATAAGAGAAGAACAATTCCAAGATTGTGTTCGGAAAAAATTTTTTCGGATCCATGTGTTGAGGATCAGCCGAGTTGTGAGCTTACCGTATCGCGTTTTTATACATACATGGTTCAATACCTTCAGGTCGGCATCATAGGGCAGAGTTTTGTCCCAGAGGTTTGGGCCGAGGAAGGCGGCCTGCGCTTCCACGTTGCCCCATAGCTCTCCGTCGGCGTCCTTCTTCTCCTCCGGTCCATCTTTACCTTGTTTTCCTGCAGCATAATTGGTTAAAATCAGTGCCGATATCTCTTCGAACGATCAAACGTTTGCCTTGCATAACTTCTTGTATCTTGCTTGTAAAAAGCGATCAGAAGCATTCGGAAATCTTCAAAATTAACGTAAAACCGCAAAATTACATGAAATTACTTTTGTAAAGTTATTGTAATATAAAAATTATTGCAATATTAATATTATTATTATATAAATATTATTAATTATTGCAATGTATAATACTTGCATAATATTTAGTAGCAAAGACGAGTCTCTGCTCGAGATTGTATCTTTTAATTACGTTTGTAAAAATTTGAAACTGCACGAAGCTCTGCAGTCTAGTCGTTTATTAAGTATTCGTCAATTATGTACGCAATTCAAACTGAATCTTCACCGAATTAAAAATTATTCCTGGCACCAGATCCAAAGTATATATAATTTGTAAAATAAATATTTAAAAAAAACGTAAATATATTAAATTTATATTTGCAATATTATTCATGAAATAGATATATAAATTATATAAATATTTATGAGATAAATATTACGAAACAACTATAAATAGTGATATTAACTTGTTGTGCTGGAATGAAGTGTCACGCACGACGAGAATTTTTTGGCCAAAAAATTGCAACGTCGTCGCAGTTTTAAGTATACTAAAATATAATCGAGGCAGGGTAAATAATAAAATTATTACTTCTCAGTAATTTCTATCCAGTGATATCATTCAGACGAGTTATCATTCCAAAAAGAAATCATTGTAGACGGGTTTGGTCACTCGTTATGGTCCGTGCAACCAGTTGCCAGCGCAAGTGTTTAAGTTAGGTTCAGATTAATAATAAAGGCAAGTTAATAATATTGTTAGTAGTACAATGATATAATGATAGTCACTATTAACGATAATAGTAACATCACAAATAAATATTATTAATATTTATAATATATATAAATATCGTTCCAAAAAGAAACGAATCATTGTATACGGGTTTGGTCACTCGTTATGGTCCGCGCAACCAGTTGCCAGCGCAAGTGTTTAGGTTAGGTTCAGATTAATAATAAAGGCAAGTTAATAATATTGTTAGTAGTACAATGATATAATGATAGTCACTATTAACGATAATAGTAACATCACAAATAAATATTATTAATATTTATAATATATATAAATATCGTTCCAAAAAGAAACGAATCATTGTATACGGGTTTGGTCACTCGTTATGGTCCGCGCAACCAGTTGCCAGCGCAAGTGTTTAGGTTAGGTTCAGATTAATAATAAAGGCAAGTTAATAATATTGTTAGTAGTACAATGATATAATGATAGTCACTATTAACGATAATAGTAACATCACAAATCAATATTATTAATATTTATAACATATATAAATATCGTTCCAAAAAGAAACGAATCATTGTATACGAGTTTGGTCACTCGTTATGGTCCGCGCAACCAGTTGCCAGCGCAAGTGTTTAAGTTAGGTTCAGATTAATAATAAAGGCAAGTTAATAATATTGTTAGTAGTACAATGATATAATGATAGTCACACGTTTTATAATATATTTATAATATATTTCATTTTCATTATCATTTATAATATATTTCCAAAAAGAAACGAATCATTGTATGCGAATTTGGTCACTCGTTATGGTCCGCGCAAGGGTTCAGGTTAGTTTCAGGTTAATAATATAGGCAAATTAATAATAAATATTAGCAGTACAATGGTATAATAATAGTCACTATTAACGATAATAGTAACATCATAAATAAATATTATTAAAACCATTGCTTGTTAATAAATAACAATAATTATAATACAACAATAACAATATGCGTCGTAACGTGACGAAATTTACACTCGCGTAACTTCGCCACGTTGTAAAACACTTTCTAAAAGAAAGATAAGAAAATAAAATGAAAATCGACGCGGAAGGCAGATCGGTTTTTATTGATATATAAATAAGATTATACACCATCATCATACACCTCTGTCAGACCGCGACGCTCCAGCAAGCTATTAACAAGCTCCATCATTCGGCTGGTGGTTTCTTAAAAAAGAATTCTCGTTTCGCTTCATTCACGCGGCTCTTTTACCTTCGTTCTTTCTTTCTTCTTTTTTTTTTTTTCGGGTACGGAAGAGGAGAAGAAGCCAGAGCCTCTTAGAATACGATGCGATGACACACTTCCTGCACGTTCCGCCGCGTTCTTTGCCACCTTTCTTCCCCACCAAGAGCCACGATGTGTGTGTGTATGTGTGCGTGTGTGTCGGAAGCCGCGGCCGCCAAGAAATTATTTCGTGGAAGAAAAGAAAAAGAGAAGAGGCGCGGATCAGTCGAGCGGCCTTGGGGATGCTCTTCCAAAAATAGTGAGCCTAACCAGCCGCTCTCCTCTGTTTCTTCTTCTTCTTCTTCCGCGTTTCTTTTCGTTCCCTTGGCCAAGGCCGCGTCGATTGTTCACTCGCGTTCCTCTTTGCCTTTGTCTTTCACACATTCGATTCGATGTCTCTCTTCATCGTAAATGCGCGAACTTCTTTTTAGATTAGAAAATTATTAAATTAAGGGGGTATTCTGGTAATCCGGCTTTAAAGAAAAAGATCAATCTGTTTCTCTTTTACATTTTCTCGACATAATATATGCTTTTGAGAATGTCTATGTGAAAGGATTTGTTTGAATTCGTAAAATTGGCAAAGTTATGGATGTTTAAAGGGAACGGTGTACTGCTCGTGCAAACGTACGTAAGTATGAATATATTTTTGTACAACGGGTGACAAAAGCTTCAAATGTGTTTTTCTCAAAAAATATATTATTTTATAATATTATT